ACTCCCGACTCCCGACTCCCGACTCCCGACTCCCGACTCCCGACTCCACTCCGGGCATTCCCTCTATTGTGCCGCACGCTTGCAGTGTTCTCCCTCCTCATCTCGGCCTCCCAGCGGCCCGGCTTCTGTCAAGTCCCAGATAAAAGCCCACTTAGCGCTAGCGCCCTCCCTCCTAGATCGTCTCCACCTTCGGCCGGTACAGGGTACGATGCGCTCACAAGCTGTTGCTCAGTGTACCCCGTCAGACCACGCTGGGGCAGGGATTGTCTTTGGCTCGTTGGGGAGACAAATCTCCACAGCACCTAGAACAGCGCCTGGCACGTGGTAAGTGCCTAATAAACGTTTGTTGATTTGACTAGTTGTGAGCCCGGTGTAGACTTAGGGCTTCAGCTTTCCCTTCTGCGAAATGGGAATTGCACTAATTACCACCACTCCCAACACCTATCTCAAAGGGTCTATATCTTTCTATATCTCCTCCAGCCCTGAAGGGCTGAGGTTCCTCCCCGTCTGCCCCGGCGGTCTAGGAGGGTCCCGTGGGCACACTCCCTGCCCTTGCCGCTAACTGGGCGCCTTTTAGTACCTGTCTGGGCGTGTGTGTGTTTGACTTTCCATTTGGAGAGACGAGTGCGCAGCGTGCCTGTGGTTGTCCGAGGACTGCCAGAAGGCGCTCAGTTCACGTTCAATTTTCTAAGGCTCTTTTAGAAGGAAAGCCCGCGGCAGGACCCCAGGTGCACCCCGCCTCGGAGGTAGGACAGGCAGCCGCAGCTGTGGACGCAGGAGCACCACGGCCTCTTCATTCACTGACCAGCCAGGGCAGGGGGCGGTGGGGGGCGGAGGGGTGATGGCGGGCACAGAACACTGGGCTTCTGTCCTGCGGCTTAGGGGAGGAGCTCGGCTTTCCCTCCTGCCCCAGCCCTACCCGGTTGAGTGACCCTGGGCGAGTCTCACTCACGTCTCTGAGCCTCATCGGAGCACGTGCCTCAGGATTTTCCATTGGTGTATGGGTCACCAGAGGCGGCCAAAGTCCCTTTTGTCTCTCCCGTTCCCCCACTGCTCCACTCCTTCTTTTGTCTCCTTTTGTCCCAGGGACCCTCTGCACCCTTGGGGATTTAATGAGCGGGCAGTGAACGCTGCTCCTGTAACCGCGTGCTATTTCTAGGCATTTATTCCCTTAGTATTCAGGCCATTGATATTTATGTGTGTCTCCGACTACTGGTGTAGAATGTAAGCTCCCCGAGGGAAGAGACTGTTTCATTCTTTGTCGTCCTTGGATCCAGGAACATATAGCCTGACACACAGCGGGCACTCAGTAAGTACACCGTGATTGATTTCGTGATTCATTGTGCATGGATGGGGCACTTTGATCAGGAGATTTCATCACTTAATGCCAAGTGAAGTAAGCAGAAATCAATATAGATAAGGACTACATGATATACAACCGGAGCTAAGCCAAAGAGCTGGATGCTGGGTGATTCTGGATGGTCTTGGCTCAGAGTGAAGAAATCAGCAAAAGCATCTCTTTTCTTTCATTGAAGAAGTGGGGGCTATGGGTGTGAAATGTGGCCGACTCTGTCAGAGGGTCTCGGTTTTGCTCCTTCCCTCCCCCCTCTCTTTGTTACTAGGGAAGGCTTACTGAGCAGAATGGGGGGGGAGAAGAGAAGTACCTGAAAAATAACTGATATAAAAACAAAAGCAATCAATTAAGAATCATCAAACTTTTTTTAAAGGTTAGGTAAGTCTACAAGCATTTATGAAATGCCAACTGTGTGCCAGATGCTGTACTTTATAAGCACTGAGGATACAAAGAAAGGCAAAAGAAAGTCCCTATTCTCAAGGACCTCACAGTCCAATGGAGGAGATACATGCAGACAATTATACACAGGCCAAATCATGGATGATCAACAGAGGAAGGGCAGCAGAGCATTTGGGGGGATTGGAGAGGTCTCCAATGATTTTCAAGTCCCTTTGTCTAACCCCTTCTCCTTACCTCCACTCCCCCCTCTCCAATAGGATGTCTAGTGTAGACATCTTAAACTCAGTATGGCCCAGATGGAACCCATTGGGTTTTTAGCTGGGATGTGAAGGAAGCCCAGGAAGCCAGCAGATGTTGGTGATAAGGGAGAGGATTCCAGGCATGGGGGATGGCCAGGGAAAGTGTTCAAATTCAGGAAATGGAGGGTCTTGTCTGAATAACAGCCAGGAGGCCAGAGTCACCAGATCACAGATCATGAGGTGGGAGTGAAGTACAGGAAGACTGAAAATGTAGGAAGGAGCTGGGTTCTTGAAGGACTTGGAGTGACAAAGAGGATTTTGGATTTGATCCTGGAGGCCATAGGGAGCCACTGAAGTTTATTGAGCAGGAGGTGAGGAGGTCAGGCCCCCCGCTTTCAGAAGATCAATTTGACAGCTGAGTGGAGGATGGACTGGAGTGGAGAGAGCCTTGAAGCAGTCAGGTTACCCCACCCCCAGCAGCTACTACCATAGTCCAGGAGTGAGGTGATGAGGGGCTGCTCCTGGAAGGGGAGGGTGGGAGCATCAGAGGAGAGAAGGGGTGGAAGTGGAAACAACAGGTCTTGACAACGGATTGGATACGGGGCAGGGGAGGGGGTGAGAGTGAAGAGCCGAAGATGAGATGACTGACGAGTCAAGAAGAGGAAGGGAAGACTTGGGGGTGGGGGAAGGTCATGAGCTCACTTTTGGACACGTTGAGTTTAAGACGTCTACTTGATGTCCAGTTTGAGATGTAAGACTGGAGGTCGGGACAGAGGCTAGGGCTGGACAGGAGATTGGAGAACTATCAGCATAGAGATGTTCATTTAGTCCATGGGAGCTGATGAGGTCACGAAGGGAAGGAGTCTAGAGGGAGAGCAGAGGACTCAGGACAGAAGAATAGGGTCATTCACGGGAATGGTGAGCATGAAGATCTTGCAGATGAGACTGGGAAGGAGAGGTCGGATAAGGTAGGTTGGACAGCAGCATCAGGAAAGCCTAGAGAGAAGATGGGATCAAAGGGAAGAGAACGACAGACAATACCAAGTCCAAGAAGGATGAGATGAGATGGTACTTTAATGGAAGTGCTCTTATTTCTGACTTTCTTGAGTGACTTACCAGAGCTCCCACAAGTGGAATCTGAACCCAGCTCTTGGACGTGGATGGCCAGAGCTGGGTCCCCTACTCAGGCTGTCTCTCAGTAAACATTAATGGAACACCCACTGGAGAAAAGTCTAGAGGAGAATTCAAACCCCTTAGTCGATGTTACTTGCAGTTAGCCACACTGTTTATTCTCTAGCTTAGGTCTAGACAGGAACAAGTCAAAAGACCTCATTTCAGAAGCTCCTTTTCTGGAAAGGAAGGGGATCTGGTTCCTTAGACTATTCACTGAGCTTGGGACCTTTCCTCCACCAGACGTCCCTCTGGTCTTTGCTCACTGACCAGGAACCCAGGCTTCCTCTCATCTCCTCATCACCTGCACAGCTCCTCCTGCGAATCCTATAAAGGCCAGCTCCCACATCACCTCCAGAAATCCTCTCCTGGTTCTCCCCAGTTGGTAAAGGCTTTTCTGTCCTCTCGGAGCTCAGTGGCTGGGTGTACTGTATCTGAGATGCACTGACCAAGGCACATGGAGTACCACAGTTCTCTTTGTTGGTGTTATCTCCTCCTTAAACTGGGGGAGGTGAGCAGTGCCTGAGTTTAGCTACTCTGCCCGTCCCTAGGCTCCGGGTACAGCAGGTGCTCAAGGAATGTTTGTGTAATTGAACAAGACCTCTCTGTCCCCACGCCCCCATCTGTGGAAATCTTTCCCTTTCAAGGGACTTCTCCAGTGTCCCTCCCCAACTTGATGGCAATTAAATTGTTAATTACCAACTTAATGGTAAGAGCTTAATGGTCCTGAGGACTGAGCTCGATCGATGTAAGGAGCAGTATTTAGGAGTTCCTCAGCGTAATAGGCCACATTTCTCTAGCATTCTAAGGTTTACAGCCCTATGAGGGGAAGGGGCACAGGCTGTCAGATGAGGCTGGGCTGGATGCCCAGCAGTCCCGAGGGCGGGGGCGGGGGGGAGGTGGCCGAGGCCAGCTTGTGGGTGGGGGGCGGGTTTCTCCTCCCCCAAGGGCCGGGCTGCTGTGGGGCTGGTCTCCAGCCCTAGTGGGGCCGCGCACTCCATTGCAGGAGCTCAGGACAGTACGGACGGGATGGCCGGTGGGATGCTGCGGGGCGTGGGTACGATGGGATGCCGGCTCCGGGCTAGCCCTCTTCGCTTCTTCGTCTTCCTCCTCCTCCTCTTCCTCCTCGTGTGGGTGCCCACAGCTCGGGGGCAGCCTGCTCGTCGGAGCCGTCGCCAGCTGGGGTTGCGCAGGCCGGGGGGCAGCCTTGGCGCGCCCGGCTACTCGAGGGCCAGCCAGCCCCCGATTCCGAGCAGTGGCGGCAGCAGGAGCCCAGGTGAGGAACCCGCGGCTGACTGATGGACGGGACGGGAGGGACGGAATGAGCTCTCTTGGATGCGGCGGGGGAGGGAGAGCAGGGAGCGCAGCCCCGACGGGCAGGAGCCAGGCTGAGGGCTCAGCAGGTGGGGAGGCGCAGGACCAGACAGGCTGGGTGGGCACAGGCACCGGCTGCGCCTGCATCACACACCAGGACTCTCCTGGGCACAGCGGGGATGGGCAGAAGGGGAGAAGCAGCCATGGCCAGGGAAGGCTTCTGACTCTGCCTTTAACGGCTGTGGGGGCCCTGGGCAAGCCTCACCTCCAAGTGGGCTGAGGTCTGGCTAAAGAGACTGGGAATGTGGACCCTAGCAAGGGAAGTCTTAGGGCAGGCCGCTGTGGCAGGGCAAAGTGTGTACTTTTCTTTATGAAAAACCAGTCTATTTTGTGTTTTATGGAAACATGCTTGGAAAACATAGAATTAACGTGTATTCCATATTAATTTGGGGTCGAGTAAGGTTTATGAAAAGCCAAGGGGTTCAGGACCCAAAAGAGGTTGGGAACCCGTGATTTCGGGGGACACAAGAGCTAGGGACTGACACACAGAAGAGGGATTAGGCTTACTGGGCTTGGCCCCAGGTGCCAAGAGAGGCCAACTGAGGCTCAGTAGCAGGTAAAACTTCAAAACTAGGAGAGCTGTCCCAGAGTGATCCCTGCTGGGCCTCCTCTAGTGGGGGATGGGCTGCCTCTCGTGGGGGCTGGGTGGGAGGGAGACTCACCCTCACTCACTGGGACCTGGTTAAGCCAAAGGTGGTCCAGATGCTGCATTGGAGGAGTTGCCACGAGGGCCCCACCAAGTTTGGCATCGCTCTGAGGTCTCTTCAGCTCCTGAGGCTGCCAAGGCTGGCCCCAGGGTGTGAGTCTGCCTCTCAGCTGCTGCTGCTGGCTGCCATTACTGCTCCTGCCTGCCTCTTCTCCCCTGGCTGAGGGGCCTTTGGTGAAGCAGCTGTGCAATGAGGAGCTCAGCTCCCCACTGGAGTCTCCAGAGACCACTACCATCAGGCTTCGGGTTGGAGAGCTGGCAGGAGCTGAGATCATGGGCTCTGCAGAGCGTACCCCCGAATCGTTCTGCTTTCACTTGAAGGTCTCCGTAGGCACAGCCAAAGCCCTCTTGTGGGACACTGACCCGTGACATTTCTCTGAGCGCAAAGGCAGCCATGGACTTCTAGGTGGTACAGTGGGAGAGCTCTGGATCTGGAGTCAGGAAAACCTGGGTTCAGATTCTGCCTCTGATGCATATCACCCTATGAACCTGAGCAAGTCATCTCCCTCTGTTTTCTCATCTATAAAATGAGGGGGTTGTGTTTGATTACCTCTAAGGACCCTTCCAGCTCTAACTTTATAATCCCATGATCTTCGTTATCTTCATCTGGGGTTGAGTGTTCAGTAGATGCTTCATAAATGTCTATTTACTTGGGATTCACTTGTAGTGTTAGGCAGGCCAGGCAGTATACTCCTGGGAAAAGCTGCTCCAGAGAGCAGCAGGCAGAGGGGTGGACCATGGGGGGTGGCTGGTCCTCCAAAATCACACCATAATGCTGGCCAATGGTCAGTCAGTCTTTCCTGTACCTCCATCTTTTTCTCCTCCATGCAGACATCTGCAGGAGCCAACCCTTGGACCTGGTGTTTATCATCGACAGCTCTCGCAGCGTGCGGCCTCAGGAGTTCACCAAAGTGAAAAAGTTCGTCACCAAGATTATTGACAGCCTGGACATTGGGGCGACTGCCACTCGGGTGGCCCTGGTGAACTATGCCAGCACTGTGAAAATCGAGTTCAACCTCCAGACCTATTCTGACAAGGCATCCGTGAAGCAGGCAGTGTCCCGGGTCATCCCTCTGTCCACGGGCACCATGTCAGGCCTGGCTATCCAGACAGCCATGGATGAAGCTTTCACTGTAGAGGCAGGGGCCCGCGCCACCACCTTCAACATCCCCAGGGTGGCCATTATGGTGACCGACGGCCGGCCGCAGGACCAGGCGGAGGAGGTGGCGGCACGGGCGCGAGCAGCCGGCATTGAGATCTATGCTGTGGGCGTGGACCGGGCAGACACGCAGTCACTGAGGACAATCGCCAGCAAGCCGTTCGATGACCACGTGTTCTATGTGGAGACCTATGGGGTGATCGAGAAGGTGACCTCAAGGTTCCGGGAAACTTTCTGCGGTAAGGCCGGGGGTCAAGCCCTCATCACAAAAAGGTGCTGTTAAGTGTGCAGACTCCTCTATTGGCCATGCCCAGAAAGGTCTGTCAGCCCTGGGTAGCATGTTTCATCCTCTGTCCTCTGGCTTTGTTGGGGGCTATTGTGGCCATCAGAGTTCCTGAGTCTTTCCCGGTTCATCTTTCTAGTATTGTTGTTATTGTAACAATGGTTTTCCTGGCTCTGCTCACTACACTCTGTATCAGCTCATACAAGTCTTCTAAGGTTTCTCTGGAACCATCCATTTTGTTATTTGTAGAGATCATCTTGCTCCATTTTATAGATGGGAAGATAGAGGCCCAGAGATGTTACTGGACTTACCCTGTAAGTCATGGTCAGAACTGGACCCCAGCTCTCCTGACTCCTGGCTCAGGGCTCTTACTTTCTCTAACTGAAGCAGGGGACTTGAAGGTGGAAGGGGTCACCTAGCCAGCCCTCTCACTTTCCAGATGAGGGGACAGGCTGGGCTAGTGCCTGCACAGGAGGTGGGGCCCCACTGGATTTGGAGGCAGATCATCTGGGTGGGGGCCCTGACTCTGACACTTACAGTTGCCACCCTCGTGGGCCTCGTTGCCTCACTTGAGGACACCTGAGGAGGCTGGACCTACTCACCCTGCTCTCACGCTCTGCACAACTCTTGCTGCCTCTCCAGGCTTGTTCAGGGAGTGAACACCTTTGCATATTTAGTGAGCCTACCTTTGTGGGAGTGATGGCTGGACAGCCCTGAAACAACAACACTACTTGTATTCTTTTTTTCCTCCTAATTTTTCTGAGGGGAAAAAGTAAAACCTTCCTTCCCCTGTCCCTTGCTCCGTTTTCTTTCGCATCTTCCACTGTGTGTCCCCAAGGACGCGGCTCCTCTCTGTCCCTGGCCCATGACATCTCGGGAGGCTCTAGTCAGGCGCTTCTCGCCTTTCTAGGTTGGTGCTTTGACCTGAGAATCAGGGCCTGTGCAGGGAGCTGATCAATCAGCTAGTTAACAAGCATTTGGTTTGTGCCAGGCACTGTGCTAGGCACCGGGGATGCAGAGGAAGGGAGCAATGGGGACCCGCCCACTGGAAGTGCACAAGCTCATCTGGGAGCCCACTATGTGCAAACAAGATACAGACAGGAGAAGTGCTGATCGTCTCCAAGGGAGGCATTAGAATTCAGGGAGATCAAGACTAGAGCCAAACTTGCAAGATGCGGGGACGCTGAGGGTGTAAGCTGGGTGAGCCTTCTGGAGCAGCCAAAGGCAGGTCTCCCAGGCGGCAGCACCTCGGCTGGGGTGGGAGTCTCCATCCGGTCCCGGTGAGCCAGCAGCTTCCCCCATCCCTGCCGTCAGCACCTCCACTTTGGTTGGGGGGCCCTGCTCTAAGTGAATGGGCTAGAAATCCTAAGAGCAGCAGGGTCCTGGCAAGCCGCCCTGTCCCGGAAATCGGACTGTTCTCAAGCAGGGCTGGGATGGAGGGGCATCAGCTGTGGCCATCGGCGGCTCTGCATTTCATACCGCAGGCGGCCGAAAACATTTCTGTAAAATATAGATTTGTATTGATACCTCGTTTGTATAGCATCCACATTTGTTCCTGTATCCCTTCCCCAGACCCCTCCCAGAGAGCTGGCCCTTATATTAAAGAAGAAAATGAGAGGAAGGAAAAAAGTTCAGCAAAATTGACCAACATATTGAAAAAGTCTGGGGTTATGGGCAGTGCCCTGCCCCCAGAGCTGTCCCCCTCCCCTCTCTATAAAGAAGCGTGTGTGTGTGTGGGGGGGGGGGGTCTTCTCTTACCTGGAGTGAATATTCTTTATAGATGCTTAGATTCAGAATCAGAGACAGAGAGAGACAGAGAGATAGAGAGAGAGACAGACAGACAGAGACAGACAGAGACAGAGAGATAGCGAGAGACAGATAGAGAGAAGTGACCTTAGGCATGGGCTGATCAAAGGTTCTTTGTACCAGAGCTCAAGGAAAGCTCTCTGGGCCTCAGTTTCTTCATCTGTAAAATGAGAATGATAATACCTGACAGGGCTGGTGTGAGGCAGGGTTGGAATCCAGGTCTTCGGACACCACAGCCATCATACTTTCCACTGTCCTACCCTGCCTTCAGTATGCAGCTAAGTGAATGTCTGGTAGAATTATTAGAAATAATATTTATTACAATGGCTCATGTTTCTAGAGCACTTGAAGGTTTCCAAGGCTGTGAATGAGTCTTGTGAGTATAATAGTATCAGTATTATTCTCATTTTACAGATGGGGAAACTGAAGCCTAGGGAGCCTAAGAGACTTGCCCAGCATCACCCAGGCAGCAGGGGCAGGAAGGGTTTGAGGTGGGATCCCCTGACTCCAGGTCCAGGGCTGTCATCACTAAACATGCTGACCCCAGCATGAGCCCCTCTGGTGTCTATGGGACAGAAGGTCTTGGGGGACCAAGAAAGAAAAGGGCTCTCTGTTTATCCAGTACCATCATGCCTGGTAGACAGCCCTGCCTCTGGAGCCCTGAAGGCCAGCATCAAACTCTGGTCCCAGTTTCTCTATGGCTCAGCGTTCTGCTACTGAAGGTGTTAGCACTGGGTCTGGAGCACCTCAAGCCAGCAGTCCAGAGCTGGAATCTCCGTCTCTGGCACAAAAGGGCTATTTGTTCAGGGGCAGAAAATGAAGTTCTGTCTGGGGGAAAAGGACATTACTGTCCACCGCCTGGGACAACATGTGGTGCTTCGTGCTCTGGAAATCCTGCTCAATGAAAAGGCCCTTCTTGGGCAAATATTGGCCTTGTTCAGGTGCCAAGAGCAGCGGG